GCTTTAAGGGTAAGCAGGTCAAAGTGCTTGCCCGTGTGCCACACAATGACCCTAGGCAAGGAGGGCGCAAAGTTGTAGGCACTCGGGGGCAGATCAGCCCGCTCAGGGAGCACAAGGATAGTGCACCGATACGTTTTAGCAGCAGCTAAGATCTCAAGCGCACCAGCCCAAGCATCCCGGGCCTGCATCCGCGTAAGATAATCGGCAAAGGACTCAAGGTGCTGCTGCCGGTCATCACAGCCATCCCACCGTTTTTGGAAGGAGGAGGCATACTTGCGCATGTGGGCAATGGTCTCGGCGCGCGCCTTGTCCGCAGCCGGCGCCGAGGGCAAAGCTTTAGCAAGGCAATGAAACAGGCAGGAGCCGTCGCCTGGCACAACGTGGCGCTCAAGGCCAGCAGGGATTTGGCGGTACCGAACAGCAGCTGCAGCAGCCTTCTTCGCTCCTGGCGCAAGGCGGCCTTCCTCACCTGTGGCCTCGGTTGCCTCAGAGCTCTGGAGAACCGGCTTGTCGATCGTTGTGAACGCCTCGCGTTTGAAGGCAAAAGGGCCAGCACGGAGTGGCTGCCCACGGTCTCGCGTACCTGGCCGGGCAGGGGCAGGAAGGACCCAGTACGATCGCTCCCCCTCCGGTGACTCAACCACAATCTGCTGTGCATCCGCACCGGCACCCGCAGACGCCCTTATCCACCAGGAACAGGCCCCTTTCCTAACCAACCGTCGAACAACAGCCGGGTTCTGAAGAGAGGTCTGGGACACAAGCAAGGACCTGATATAGTCGTCGGTCCAGGGCGGCGGCGTACCTGTGATGGTCCAGGTGCGCGTGGGGGCCTGCCCCTCCTGAGGGGCGACGCGGGTGCCAAGCTCCCTGTTACCAAGAAGCAATCCGAAAGCCGGCCGCTCAGCCAGCAACCGCTCATGCAAAGCACTAAGGCCCTCATCCCGAAGAGGCTTGTGCCAAACAACCGAAACGGTGGGCGTCGTGTCCTGCCGCCCCACCGGCTCAACGAAAACCCCTTGCTGGCCGGAGGCCTTGAAGAGCTCTCGCACGCATGACGTGTCAACACGGGCCAGGCCTTGCACAAGCTGGTGGTTGCCCCGGGTGTGCTTCGCAAACTGCCAGGCATCCTTCAGACAGTGCTGTTTGTCAAGGGGCAGCGCAAGCCTACCCCACTCCTGAATGAAACCACGAGGTGCAGCAAGAGCCCTCTGCCAAAGCTTAGGGGGAGCAAGCCCCTGACACGCAACAACTCGAATCACTGTGGTGGCTGAAGCCGGCGCAGGCGCGGGCTTGGGAGAGGATTTCAAGGACGGGGCCGCAACCCCAGCACAACACACATCAGTGCGGACAACATGCTGGGTAACAACCTTGGTCCCGGAAGCAAGCGGAATCACCAAAGTGCCCGCCCGATCCCTATGAAAAACCCAAGCCGAATGAAGCCCCTTCCCCGTGATCTGTTGGGCCGCCGCGTCTGCCTGCTCTGAGTCAGCGGCAAGCAAAACGAGCGGGCCTTTAGGGACGGAAGCCAACTTCGCCGAGAGCTCATCGTATTGCACCACCGTGCCGTGAAAGTCACCTGGGCGGAGCGCAAAGGAAGGAGCCGGCTGAGGCGTGCGCGGCGGTGGGGCCGCGGGCGCCGTCACAACTCGAGGCAATGATGGTTCAGCAGGGGGGCCCGAGGGCCGGGGCTGATTGGCAGCTTTCGGCTTTGCCTTGGGCTTAGCTTTGGCTTTAGGACGGGCGGGCGCAGGAGAGGCACTACCAGCAAGAAGAGGCCCCAAAGCCTCGATCAAAGACTGAAGTCCTCCCGCACCCTTACCAGAAAGCAACTTGAGAATCCCTTCAAGGACCGTAAGTAGCTGAGCTTGCCGAGCCTGGTTGCGCTTGCGCTTGGTAACCGCTGATGCACCAGGCCCTGGGTGGGATGCTTCTCCGATTCGTTGGCCCAACAAGCCATTGGGGCGGTTGAGGCGAAGGCGGGGAAAGGAATGCACAGCAGAGACGACCCTAGGGAACCCGAACCCTAGGGGAGAACTAAACAAAGGCCTAAACCCACGGCTGCAGCGTGAGCTTCGGGCTCCAACGCACGTATTGTCGGGCAGCTGCCCGTCACAGCAAAAGATTACACAACACAACTCCTGACTGTCCTCTGCATAGGCCAGCTCCAGGGCGATGATGCCGGGAAGGTTCGAAGCCCCCTCGGGGAGGGGCCCCGCCACCACGGAGGCGCGCCGCCCGCGCGCCAGGACGTCTTCCCGCTGATGGCAGCTCCAGCTGGAATAGCTAATGAGCACGTTGCTGTCCACGTGAGGGATGACCGGGCAAAGGCTGCAGAAATAGGTGCACATCTCCACGTAAGCCGGGATACTTTCCACTGCTAAATCCAATTCATGCACGCCCTCTCGGCGCTTGTCAGCGCGATCCTGCGAGCAGGAGAAGTAGTCATACCATATATGTAGAGTGGGTGTGATGCCACGTCTGCGGCCGAAACTGTATTCTCTGCCCCAAAGAGGTGGGTGTCGATGCGCGTGGACAACGACCTCTCCCCTCAAGAGGGCGAGCAAAGCATCCTGAAAAACTTTGAACTGCTTGAAGTACGGATCTGGGTGCGCCTGTCCGGCCCATTGATGAGACACGAACATGGCTTTCCCCATGCTGGTGTCGAAAATTCTGAGCATGCCCTCCTTCTTCAATTCCTCATGAGGCCGTGTCCGAAAGCTCAGGGCTTCCTCCATGGGGACCACGTACATGGGGAAGAGGCGAATGCTCCCCTGTCTGGAGGCCTTTTGATTCCTAGACTCTCTTCCGAGGGACCGCGAGTACCTTTCCAGTGCTGTGAGCTCCTTGGAACACGACATTCCGCTGATCCCCTTGTATGGGCGATGAAAGCATGGACATGTACTTTGAGCCCCAACACTATGCACAGCACATGCACAGCTAGAAGCGCGGCTTCTTACGCACAGGAAGGTCCGGTGGGAGAATGTTGGTGCATCTGGGGGCACTTGACTTCCCCTCCCTCTGCCTCAGAAGTCCAGCCGCCGTCAGCCAGCTTCACACTCCACACGGATAGAAATTGGCAAACAAAAAAACCTTTTCGACAATTGACGTTCTCTCGGGACACGCGACTGTCCTGCCAGCCAATTCTGTCCTTGGGCCTCTATGTGGCCGAGTTGAAATCACTGTGAGTATGTCCCTGCATATCTTGGGCGGAGATTCAGCATGGTTCAGCATTTTGTCATGGCGTGTTAAAACAGCTGCGGCAGCTTCAGAACATTGCAAGCTAGGAGAACACGCAGGGCTCCCCAACCGCAACAGGCCTGGCTTCCAGAAGCAAGCAATGAGCAAGTGGTCGACAAGAGCTCCCCAAACCACAAAGCCCCCATGGGCAAGAAACACACGGCTGTTGCCAGGTGCTTGCTGCGGATCTGCTGCAAGGGTAGAAGCCTCCAAGTCAACAACAATTCGCAGAGCACAAGAGGGGCTCTCGCCCACTCCCTTTCTCTCTCTCACTCACTGTCTCACTCATGCACTCAATCACTCACTCGCTCGCTCGCTCGCTCGCTCTTTCTCTCCCTCTCTCTCTCTCCCTCTCTCTCTCTCTCTCTCTCTCTCTCCCTCTCTCTGTGTCTGTCTCTGTGTTGCGTGTGTGTATGTGTGTGTGTGTGGGACACCGCTGTACATGCGGCAAGGACATCAAGCTCAGTCAAAAAGACCTCGGAGCATAACGCAGCATAGCATGCCAGAGAAGCAGGGGGCGTGGCAGTCATTCTCCTAGCCATCGACCGGAAGGGAATGTGGACGCACATTCCTGTACCTGCAACATCGAATGATCGTTTTAGAAGTATTCATACTGTACTTGTTGCTTCATCTTCGCTGTTTTCCAACAATAGGTTCAGTCCGTGCGTGAGTTGGTCCATCTACTACATGTCGGTTCAGTGTCTGAGACGGGTTCGACATTAGTGACAGGCAGTGCATCCGCAGCCGTTTATGATGCATTTGTCGTTTTGTCTCTTTGCATTCACAATTTGGTCAGTGTGTGAGTGGTGGTTCTCTATCCTACATCATACTCTTTACCTACACCACCTGTGACCATAACAACACAGCAACAAGTGTGTGTGTGTGTATCTGTGTGTCTGTGTCTGTGTCTGTGTCTGTGTCTGTGTGTCTGTGTGTCTGTGTGTCTGTGTCTCTGTGTGTCTGTGTCTCTGTGTCTCTGTGTCTCTGTGTCTCTGTGTCTCTGTGTCTCT